ACTTTATAGTTTTAACGTGTTGAAAAGAAATGTACACAAGATTGTGATATCCTACATCAATTGGAGATGGGAACAAACCATTTCATGTAAAAGTGTAGAAACTTGTTCGTAATAAACCCATTTTAAAATTTTGAGGGAAAATAGAATTTGGATTGTCATAAATAGTATAAGAGTCAGACATATTAGACGGTGTGTCAACGAAGATAAGTTTGGAGGGTAAATCTGTCATTCGAGGGGTGAAAAAGACAGAAAGAGAGAGGGGGGATCTAATCATCTAAATGACACCTTTTGGGGAGGTGGGATTTTAACTTATTAAAATTACATTAATTAATTATATAAAAGTTAAATGTGGAGAAACAGACAGACAAGATGGGAAATGAAAGGGAAATGGAACAGATTTTTTTTTTTTTTTTTTAAAATAAAATTTCCTTCCTCATTTATTTCTATTTCTATTTCGATTTCGATTTCGATTTCTATTCTGAAAGTGAGCATTTGTCTTACTTCTCACCACCTTCCAAACCTCACCGGAATTCTTTTTTATTTTCCTTTTTGGTGCTAACCTCTGAATGCTCAGTCCCTCGTCCTCCTCCACGCCCACTACCTGGATTGGAACATCGTATTGAAACAGAGACGTGTGTGAAGCTTTTGTGGTTTTCAATGGTGGATTGAAGAAAGAGAATCCCAGATTTCTCCTGTCAAATTTGTTCACGTTTTTTATTGGTTGAATCAGAGAAAGGAGGGTCTTTTGGGTATCGATTCTGGAAATGAGAGCTGGGCTTAGTACGATCCTGCAAACTCTGACGTCGGAGGCGGCTACTGTTTTGAACCAGTCAATTGCCGACGCGGGTCGACGTAACCATGGCCAGACCACGCCGGTTCATGTCGCTGCAACTCTGTTGGCTTCCCCAACTGGGTTTCTTCGCCAGGCTTGCATCAAGTCTCATCCCAATTCTTCGCACCCGCTTCAGTGCAGAGCTCTTGAGCTCTGTTTTAGCGTCGCTCTTGAACGCCTACCCACCGCCCAAAACGTGTCCTCTGCCTCTGAACCACCAATCTCCAATGCGCTAATGGCAGCTCTTAAACGCGCACAAGCCCACCAACGCCGTGGCTCTTCTGAATTGCAGCAACAACCTATGTTAGCGGTGAAGGTTGAGTTCGAGCAGCTAGTTATTTCCATTCTCGATGATCCAAGCGTGAGTAGAATTATGCGGGAGGCGAGCTTTTCGAGCCCTGCTGTGAAGGCTACGATTGAACGATCTTTGAATTCGTCGACATCTGTGGTGAATTTATCCCCTATTGGATTAGGTTGCCACGCTTCCCCGACGCCTCATCGGAATCTTTATTTGAATCCACGGTTGCATCAGGGAAGCGTTACCCAATTGGAACAGCCGAGAGGGGAGGAAGTGAAACGAATCGTGGATATATTGCTCAGGCCGACCAAGAGAAATCCAATCGTAGTTGGGGATTCGGAAACAGACGCAATGATTGAGGAATTTTTTAGGCGAATTAATAAGAAAGAACTGACTGAAGGGCCTCTTGAAAATGCCGAGATTATCCATTTGGAGAAGGAACTTGCATCAGATGGAGCACAAATAGCCTCAAAACTTGAAGAATTGGAAGATTTGTTAGCGACCCGAATAGCCAATTTGAGTTCTGGGAGCATAATTCTTGACTTGGGGAATCTACAATGGTTGATTGAGCAGCCGGCGAGTTCTGTAGCCCCAGGTTCCGGCATGTTAGTGCAGCCCGTTGTATCCGAGGCCGGCCGTGCTGCCGTTCAGAAGATTGGAAAGGTATTGACAAGGTTCAGAGAGGAAACTGCCGGCCGGCTGTGGCTGATAGGAACCGCTACTTGTGTGACGTTCTTGAGATGCCAAATCTATCATCCCTCCATCGAAAGTGATTGGGATTTACATGTTGTCCCCGTTGTGGCTAAAGCCCTTCGCTCTGGGTTATATCCAAGGTACTTTTGGATTCTCATCCTTTTTATTTCATCCATCTCCACCTCATGGATCGTTAAGCTCAGAGTCATTTGCTTGATCTTTAAGAACTTTTGGGTCATTGCAGAAATCAAGTATACAGCCCTTAGAAACGTTTCTAGGCTTATTTTAATCGTTCATGATTGATTTCTTTTGTTGTTCTTTGTTGGGTATTGAGTGTTTTTGTTGTTCTTGTTCATTTAGGCTTGGAACAAAGGAGATTCTAGGCAGTTCAATCGAATCCTTGTCCCCAATGAAGCTCTTTCCAACGCCTCCCATTAGCCAACTAAGACATGAATCTGAGACTCTAAATGTTGATCCAAGAACAACTTGCTGCCCACAGTGTATGCAGAAGTATGAACAAGAACTACAAAAACTCATGAACGAGGAGTCTGAGAAATCTCCATCAGGAGTCAAAACAGACAGCAATCACCCTCCACTGCCACACTGGCTGCAAAAGGCTAAAGCTGATGCTCCTAATGCTGAATCAATTGATTCGAAACAGGTAGCTTTGGATCGAATTTATCCGAAACTCGATTCGTTTTTGTGAAATCAAGTCGAGCTTAACTATGTTTGTGTTTTGTTGCAGAGCAAGGACCAGGAATTGATGGTAAAGCAGAGGAATCAAGAACTACAAAAGAAATGGAATAATACATGCTTGAACCTTCATCCCAATTTCCATCAACCAAAAATTTTAAGTTCTACAGGAAATATGTCAATAATGGGTTTATATAATCAAAACTTGCTCAAGAGCCAGCCTTGTCAGCCAAGGTTAGAAGTGAATAGAAGCCTTGGGAGAACTCTTCAGCTGAATATGAATCCACAACTCAACCAGCCATCTGACTACAGCTCAATACGAACAGACTTGATTCTTGGGCAAACTCATAAACACTGCACCAAAGAATTTTTGGGCCAAAATCATAAATCATCCAGACCAGAGATGAGTGCCAAACTTCTAGGCATAACAGATGTTGATTCATACAAGAAGATCCTTAAAGTTCTAACGGAGAAGGTTTGGTGGCAGGGAGATGCAGCTTCTGCTGTGGCTAACACAATAACTCAACGCGAATTGGGCAGCAGGAAACGTCAAGGTGCTGGATCAAAAGGAGACATTTGGCTATTATTTGCGGGGCCTGACAAAGTTGGCAAGCAGAAGATGGCATCAGCTCTTTCAGAGCTGGTATCTGGGTCCATCCTGGTTACCATTTGTGTTGGTACACAACGAAGTGGTAGAGGATTGGACAACAATTTTCGCGGTAGAACACCGTTAGATCAAATTTCAGAGGCTGTTAGGAAGAATCCATTTTCAGTGATAGTTCTTGAGGACATTGATGAAGCAGATATTATATTTCGTGGGAGTATAAAACGGACAATAGAAAGTGGTAGGCTCATTGATTCCCATGGTCGAGAGATCAGCCTTGGTAATGTTATTTTCATCCTTACAACTGATCGGCTACAGGATGATCTAAATCACTCGTCCTATCACAATTCTTTTGGTGAAAACGAGCCTGCAAATTTAGCTAATGAAAGTTGGCAATTGAGGTTATCTCTGTCTGAAAAGCTGCTAAAACGTCGAGGGAATTGGCTTTCCAGTGAAGAAAGGTTCACAAAAACCAGGAAAGCTACAATTCCTAGTCTGTTTTTTGATTTGAATGAGGCTGCCAATGCAGAGGACGACACGGCAGACGGATCACACAATTCAAGCGACCTCACAATTGATCATGAAGATGAATCTAGCCTAAGCAGGATGGAATCAACCACAGCTTCACCTGCATTACGCGAGCTTGGGGATATCGTCGACGATGCCGTTGTTTTCAAGCCAGTCAACTTCAACCATATAACCCGCCACATTAAAACTTCCATCCATGACAAATTCTCCACCATTATTGGAGAGGGAGTCTCAATCGAGGTACAAGACCATGCTCTTCAAAAAATTATAGCTGGGGTATGGTTTGGCGACACTGGTTTAGAAGAATGGGCAGAGAAAGCACTGATTCCTAGCTTCAACCATCTCAAGGCTTGCATTCCAAAAACAGCCGGCAGTATGCAAGACAAGTCAGTACTCATTACTCTCGAACTAGACCATGAATCAGGCAGTCGAAGCCGAGGAGATCGGCTGCCCAGTAACATCAGAGTAGTTACAGCCGTAGATGGGTTATGAGAATAGGGTGGAGGTAACATAAAATGTTTGTATATATGCATATATAGTTTGCCCCTAAGGCTGGGGGAGGGGAGTTGTTTTAATTTAACAGCATCTAGATATGCCTGAAACAAATAGTTGGTAACCAAGAAATTGGTTTTTGAGTATTGTCGATAAACAGAAAGCAGTATGTTGGTTGATAGAACAGGAATGACAAAGGAAACAATGTCTTGTAATTTCTTGTCTCCTTGGAATTATTTGATTCAATTGCCTTCACCCTCACCTTCACCTCCGTATTCATAATGCAATACTTCCCCCGCTATACACTACAAAGAAGTATCTCACACATCGGTTAGAGAGGAGAACGAAACATTCTTTAAAAAGGTGTGGAAACTTCTCATCATTAGACACATTTTCAGACCGTGAGGCTGACGGCAATACGTTACGGATCGAAGCAAACATGCGTTGGAATGTTAAAAAAAGGGCATTGTTTACTTGCACGAGCAATGACAAGCTTGCTTGCTTGTCCTTTCTGCCTCAAGACTTTGTAAGGTGGACTTTGGGTTAAAGAAATGAGTATAAGTGGGGTGTCACCGACTCTAAGGCAGGTTCAAAGGGCAAAGAACAAATATAAATATGAAGCTGATGTTGCGTAGCTGTTTCTGACAGCGGCCAATTGTATTGTATGGTTGAAAGGGGGAGAGGTAGGAGAGGTGGGCAGTGGGGAGGAGAAAAAGAAAGCGACAGAAACCAGCCGCCGTTCTTTGTGTTTCTTCCGTTTTCATTCGTATCCACACAAAATTAAGCAATTTGGCGTTGTCCATAAAAAGTGTATGAACATAGCTCCCCACCTAATGTTCTTACGATATAACTTCGAGATATGAACTGAATCATTGTCTGTTGTATATTAATAAAGCCAGGAGCACCTGAACTGGATTACTTTTACAAACTCTTGCATCCACGGCAGTCTTGCCATATGTGCATTTTCAGCTACATACTTCGCTGGAAAACACAACTGAGGATAATTCATAAAGTTGGAAAGTTTTAATCAAAACAAATGACAAAAATGTATGTAATACAAGTTTTCTAGTCCACCAGCAGCCTCATCCCTGCATAGCTCTGTCTCGGCACCGTCTAGTGAAAGAAATCAAGTTTCTGTGGTCAACAAATATCTGTCTGAGGCACTGTATATAATACTCTCTGGTGAAGTATAACATGCAGCTACATTTGCAGCAGCCTGTTTAACCATCCAACGAACACAAGTACTGTCTATAAGATCATATTCTAACGAGACTAACTTACTGGTTACGACATTAATGCATGGTTTGTGACGTTGCATCGCTGGCTCATCTGAGCATTGGATTGAAGCAAGCCCCCGTAAGGTCTCCGTAAGGTCCGAAGTACCAGATGACGGGAAAAAGGATGCTCATCTGAAATAGATTTCACCCTTCTCAGAGAGCAATCTAGCTATTTGATAACACTGAAAACTGTTTATCTATCTGGCTCAATGGAAAAGTCAGGTTCGTCGGGTTTTTGTAACTTCGGTAAGTCATCTTTCATTCTCTGAGCGCCTCTCCGTGTGTTTGCAGCAAACCTTGAAGCTAGTAAGGCTACATCCAGAAACATTTTAGCCTGAGATGGATGTGAAACAACAGAGAATCCTTCTCCTCCTTGGCTAGTTCCATCTGCCACTTCTTCTGGTAACGTAAATGATTCCTTCATTAACAGATCTTTTGCCATCATCCTTTTCTTATGGCGACGCCAAGCAGCTTGAATAAAGCAAGCTGCCCATGTTCTCCAATGGTGAGAGTAAAAGCGGAATGTGTGCTGCAATTTTTTACTGTGCAGACGTCTAAATTGGTTGGCCACAAATTTAAGATCTTCAGCACGGAGCGCAAAAGCTTCGACTTCATTGAGCGCTCTGACTGTTCTAGTTGAGGAGGGCAAGTTGGTGGTTGATTTTGGAAGCAAGGCCCAAGAAAGTAGCTCCTCCCCACAAAAGTCTCCAGGGCGTAATGTTATCGAGTTAAAGAAACCAGAGCGGCCTCCATTTGTGGTAGAGCTCTCCAATCTGCCTCGTATAACAAACAACATCTCCGTCACTGGGTCCCCTTCCCGTACAATATAAGTACCTTCAGTGCTCAAGGAGGAGATCAGGCGTTCACATATTGCATCAAGTAGCTGATCATCCATCTGTGCGAAGAACGGAACCTGCAAAACAGGAGGCGAAAAGTGCTTCAATATACTTAGTGAGTCGAAGGTGGCAACTCAATTAATGTATTTTAAACCACTTTTAACGAATAATCGACCAGGAAGAACTTCTGATTCCTTTTTGTAAGAACCTAGATTATTGTGTGGCTCAATAACACCAGCTGAGAAACAAGAGCTAGTTCAAACTTCTCAGCCTTTGGCTCTGTATAAAAATAAAGAACAAGTAAGCAAGAGAATCATACTCGTCGGACAAGATCTAGACATAGGTGGCACTGAATATCACGTCGAAGATCAGCAGGCAAGCTTTGCAAGATGACTTCTTCATCAACTCCTTGAGTTGCTACCCACTTATATTGTACAAAACGTCGAACTCGTCGTTTCAAGTCTTCAGGGAGTTGACGATGTCCCATCCACTCTTCAGTGTCTCTTTGCTTTAGTCTCCATTCTTCACGCCTCACAGTGAGGGATTGCAGATACGTCTACATCAAAAGATATGGTGAGACAAGTAATCAAAGGATTCTGGCCATATAGAGGGCATGTCAAGGAAAGGCAATAAAATCAACCTTTTTCCTTCCTTTTATGAACTCAGCGATCAAATATGAGAGGAACAAGAATCAGCAAGCAAATATATATATACAAGTTTTTAGTCTAACCTGCATGTTTCCGATAAGATGGGCAAATAATACAAGGCCTACAATGGCAATGAGCACAGCAAACAGTGTCTCACCCATAAAAGTGGTTGTTTCCAAATTCTGTCCATATGAACTGACAAAATAAGCCAGAAGTTATTCAAGTATTTTCAAGAAAAAAAAAAGTGAAGAATTAAAGAACCATCTATAACAAGACAAGAAGGGACCATACAACATGTTGTGCTAGTTTGCCAGCTAACTAGTCAGTGCAGAACCTATGATGAGCGTCCTATACAAACGCATAAAAAATTTGATAACAGGTCCATAGGTTTTCATGTGTTACAAAAAAGCATGTAATCCATAAAATGTTCAAGATCAATTCACGAGTCGAATTCATTCAGCAAAAGGCAACTCATTTGCATCTAGAGTTGTAACAGCCCAAGCCCACTGCTAGCAAATATTGTCCTCTTTGGGCTTTCCCTTTTAGACTTCCCCTCAAGTTTTAGAACGCGTCCACCAGGGAGAGGTTTCCACACCCTTACAAGCAATGTTTCGTTCTTCTCTCCAACCAATGTGGAATCTTACAATAGTAAAACGTGTCTACTAGAGAGAGGTTTCCATACCCTTATAAGGATTTGCTTCGTTCTCTTTTCCCGCCAACGTGGGATCTCATAATCCACCTCCCTTGGGGACCCAGCGTCCTCGCTGGCACACTACCCAGTGTCTAGCTCTGATACCATTTGTAACAGTGTGGGTAATAAGACAAACTAAACCCGAAAATACTTTATAGTAAAAGCCTTAGGGAAGGGCAGCTTTTACAAGCAAAAGTTGGAGAAGTAAATAACAAGCAACATCATTTGATCCAAATAACGCTTTCCTAACCACAGGGAGAAAACTATAGCCTGGGGAACAATTTCAAACGAAATATTTATAGGTTCTACCTCTAAAGGGAAAGAGAGTTCTAGCTGCTACACTTATGGACACTATACTGAGACGTTAAATATAACGAAAAAGGAAATCGTACCTCAGGTTTTGCAAGCCCCACCACAAACAATAGAAGTACTTTTCAATAAAGCTTGAAGAGACGACATTCTTCGACATTGCTTGCCCAAAAATGCCATACTTGAAAATTCCTTTCGGGCCACATTTTTCAAAAACAAGTGTACTATTTGCCCATGTATCGCGGTCATTATGGTTAAATGTATCGCAATCAAAAAAAGTTAGGTTGCATTCCAGTGTATTGTATTCTTTCTTCCTACAAAATGATTTCCAGCATGACGTATATCTATCAACCGACAGCAAATACCATGTAGCACCTAAAACCTGCCAAAAATCAAAATAAAAGAATACGAATTGGAAATCCCCCGCAAAGACGTTTACATATTTATATCTCAGGTCAGACAGAGAGATAGAGATGAGAGAGTTACATGGCTAGCCAACATATAGAGTAGAAGATTATAAGCAGCGCCTGCCCAAGCTGTCTTTGTAACAACTCCATTTGCTTTGATGATTTCTGAACTTAATGGGAAAATCAAATACAATCTCGGAATATATTGAAGCAGAACAATAAGTGCAAGAGCATTGTTTTTATGATCCGTTAGACGGCTCCTTGTTGCAGGTATGATAAACCAGATGACAATCTGCATGGAAGAGGCAGTGACAAGTCTCTGTCAAAATTCTAAAATCACATATCTCTATATCTAAAAGGGGTAACCCCACTTAATTTCCCATTAACTTTTACAATATCCTACGAGTTACTTGACAACCAAATGTAGTAGGGTCAAGTATCCCATGAAAATAGTTGAAGTGCGAAACTCGGAACTCACAAATATCCAAAAAAACAAAAAAGGCTAATTATTTGATGTAATTTTGATGCCTAGAGAACGATAGTCGTGCAAACAAGTTCATCCACCCTTTGAACATAAAATTCTATATAGACTTCAATAGACCAGATTGAAGATAAATATTAGACCAAGTGGAACTCTAATCGTTAATAAGCAGGCTGAGAAGGATGTTCTACCATTTTGTTAATGCATCGACACAAGTATGTGATGGTTAGCATGACCTAAGAAAATGATAACTCTCGTATCACACGAAGCAGATGGATAATAATAGTTTTACTTATCAAGAAATGAATGGAAACTGCCAAATGAAAATTAAAGACACAGTGCACCAAATATAAAGTCAAAGGTTGAGGAATGGAAGTCTCAACCTGAGGGAGAGGCAGGGTGGCAATTAGATCGATGAAAAAATCAGATCTAATATACCTCTTCGCTATCATCTTTGGATCCATCACAAGCTCACCTCTCCCAAAAACTCGAGAGCTAGGAGCAACATAAGCTGTTCTAAACTTTATAATCATGTGCAGAAGATAGAAAAAATCTGCAACAGTCCGGAAACAGGTCACAACAATTCGCAATTTCCAGTCTGTCCTCACGCATTGGGATTGCCCATTCCCATTAAAAGCAGGCAAGTAAAGATATAGCGGGTCGACAAAGAGTGCCAATAAGCACGAACATATGAACACTCGGTTCCATTTCAAAACAATCTTGCTACCAGGGTCTAGTATTCTTTTGCTCCATGGTTCATAGTCCTCCGGAAACACCTTCGACTTCTCAGTTTTAAAAGTTTCAGTGAATTTACTTTTGATTCCCCCTAGTCCATTGTCAGGCATTAAGAATGTAGACGACGGAATATAGTATTTTGATGATGACTTCTCAAGTTGCATTGCTTCATTGTTGCTGCTTCCAATGGCAGATTCCTTATGCTTTTTGTGATCAGAATAAAAGCTGTTGATTCCAGGAACACAAATTGTAGCCATAATAGTTATACAACTGTCTATATATAATTGCATAGGAACATAGTGATTATATGGTTCCAAGCACAAGAAATCAAAGTTTTAGAGCTACGCCACACAATCAAAGTACTAGAACTAGTTGAAGTAGCTTACGTTTATCACTCCTACCCAATTGAACTAAGCAAGTAAAAAAGAGACCTAGTATTACAGGCCAGATGATCTTGCAGAGTTCTATTGTTCTCTAACAAAAAAAACTTGAGATCGCACCACATTTCTCAACAAGAAAGCAAAACAGGTCCCATAAAATTCAAGATTTCCAACGTTTCCAATCGACTAACAGATTCAGCTCATCAATAATAAACGCTATCAATATGGTACATTCTAAGAAACAAAGGAAGAAGAAAGAATCACCTAACAAGCTTGTAGTTTCTCAATTCCATGCCCATAAACAAAAGATAGAAGCTGAAACGTAAAATCCTCAATGACCCATCAAAAAAGCAGGCGTATGGTGTCAAATAGAACCCTCCATTTCCTCAGAAGCTATCGGAGAAGCACAAAGAAAGAAAAAGAGAGAGGAAGAGGAGAAACGAGCTCGGTTTGTTTGGAATCGAGGCAATCCGTAATTCAACGAGGAATTAAAGTTGTTTGGTGAGAAGATCGTAAGAAGAAATGAAAATATGAGCAAGCCAACCAAAGAGGAATCGAACCATTCAATTATATACCGCCGAAACAACACGTGACTCGACTAGACCATCATTCTGTAGAAGGGAACCACGCCGCCTCCAGTTCCTACCATAACAGTGATTATTTTGGACTTTTTTGCTCCCCCTCTTGACTCATTTGGTTGAACTTCTTGCAGCTCGCTCAGTCATTTCTTTTGTCATGTGGGTTCTCCTCAGTCAGCCACAAACATTCTGCAATGGTCAAATCATTACCTCATATACTTGGATCTTGCTTCCCTATTTTTAATTTGATGACCCACATAAAGAACACATAATAATCTCTATTTAACAAATCCATTTTAGTATTAAATTTAAGCTAATCATCTACTTAACAATTATTTCAAATGACAGACGAATACAAAATGTCAAGTTCGGATCTTAAGAATGATAATTAAAAAAAACAAAATGGCGAGATCTTAAAGACCATTAGTCTCGCTTCTTTAATTCTTTTTCTGGGTTTTCATTTTTTTAATGAAAAATCTAATTCTAGTTGCGTGCTTTTTCAGACACTATCTATTTTATATTGGCGTAATTTGCATACAAAAATATCATTCAAGCCGCCATGTGATACTGCTATTTTTCTCCAACAAAATGTTGAATAAATAAATAAGGCCCATTTATATTTCACCAGGCCCAATCCAATCTTCCCCTGAGCCCTTTGGGCCTGTTCTTCAGTAAATATATATACATATATATATTGCTCCTTATAATTTTAAAGTTTCAATTTATTTCCCAAATTTTATTAAAACTACGATCTAATAAAGTCAACCATGTGAATACAAATAAAAATAATAATAATAATAATAATAATCAATGAATACGTTGTTTCATTATTTGTTTTAATTATATATACATCAACTACGAAGATATTTGATATAATAATATTTTTTTTTTAGTTAAGTTTCAACTTTTTTATAATTTATTTAATGATTTAATATCTAAATCATTTTAGTGGGGAATAATTTATAATAGATTTTAAAAAATATAATGGTTGAATCATGAATTTTTTTTAATTATAGAAATTGAGTTGAAATTAAATTTAAATCATAGAATTTAACATAAAAATAACAAAAATTGCAAGTGACAATGTATTGCGTTTCGGCGCATCAGCAGTGACCGTATTAATTTCAGTCATTATTGTTTTAGAGCCCCGAAACCATTAAAATATTTATATTTTCTTTCAAGGATATTCCACGTAGATATTTAATAAAATTTAAAGAAAAAAAAAATGGACAGACGAGAATTAGATATTTGAAACAGAGGAGGAAGATGATGATTCAAAGTGTGTCGCCTTGTTTTGTCTTCCTCCCATCAGCCATTGTAACGTCCTCTTCGCGAAAGATTGATTCAGTTCAGACTCGAAGCTGGTACGCCTCTGGTTTTCTTCGTCTCCGACGTCATTTTCCCACCTCCAAACGTTCATCTCTGAGAGATCCCCACGGTTGCTCTGAATAGGAAACCGTAGTGAAACTGCCCTTCTTGAAGAATCTGCGGCCGATTCTCTCCGGGTTTTTCCTCTCAGCCAAATCTTCGATACAGAGAAACTCTCCATTTTGTTGTTGTTTGTATCAGTAATCTCTCCCTTTTTCACTTCCCCAATAGCTTCAATCCCACTGATTTTGAACTCTCTTCTGGATTCGCAGTCGCATTCGGACATGGCTGCTCTGTAACCAGGCGTCGACGGCAGAGCTGGCTTCCTGCTTGGATGCTTCTTCATTGGCTTGCTTCTAATCGCTACTTTGAGAGACGAATGTTCGTCCATTACATATTCAAAAACCCCCATTGAAAAGCACCTACGAGAATCCACATTCTTGTTCTCGCTACTTCCTCCTTCCCCTGCATCGATGTTTTTGTATTTTCCAAGCTTTACAGTCACTACACTTGGGTTTGAATCCTCTAATTTCATAATCTCGCTCGCCCCTGTCTCAAATTCACCATTTCCACCAACACCCACTTGCGAATTTGACCCAGAAATCGGATTTGTACCCTCTCTGTTTACAGAACTCTCGCTCCCGGACTCAAGGACAAGAACAATTGGTGCACGAGTGGTGTGGGGGGAGAAATGATCAGGTAGCAAACTAGATCTACAGAGAGGGCAGGTTGAGTGAGACAAAAGCCATGTGTCAATACATTGTGTGTGAAAAGCATGGCTGCATATTGGCAACAGCCTGAGGTTATCCTCTGGCTCAAACTCAGAGAGACAGACAGCGCAGTCAAATGGGGATTTGGACCCAATAATGGCTTTGTAATTGAAAACAGGAAGGGTATCAATGAAGGACTGATCAACCCCAGAGTCATGAAGATGAAAGAGGTGCTGTAATTGGCCTTGAAAGGCAGTGACATCGTCTGAACTTTGAGGGTCTGTTTGCGATGGGGGAGGAGACCAGAGGAATCTAATAAGGAGATGAAGCAAACCAGAAACGAAGAAGACGATAGCTAGAATGATTATGATGAGAAGAACACTTGGAGGGATCTGCTTTTCCAAGTTGAAGGCCAAAGGAGGAGGAGGAGGAGAAGGAGGAGGAGGGTGTAGGCGTGGTGGTGAAGGGAAGAAAGTGCCATTGAGTTGCAGAAGCAGTGAATCCATGTTAATGGAGCAAAACCCAACTCGATTTGGTGAAGTTTCATAGGCTAAAGGCTTGGGTTTGGTGTGAACGAAGGGTGTATTTGGGAGTTGAGAGACAGATCAGGCGCACAGAAGGGAGTCTCCACATTGTTGTCTGCTTCTTTCTTTTGACTTTGTGTGACGTTGTATCTACTAGAATCAAAACAAAATTTAAATCATGTGGGTGTGGCACAAGTGTCGGATGCTCGTGTAATGTGGTGACTTCAAACGATGTAGCAGGTGCACTTGAAACTCACCTTCTAATTTGACTTTGTTTCCCTAATCAAACATTTCAAACGGATTTGGTAAAATTCAAACACATATGCCCAACCTCCTCACTAAATCATGTTGTCTTTTTTTGACAAATCTTTAGCTTAAGAGATGTTTCCATGCCTCGGAAATGCTTTGTTCTCCTCTACAATCGATGTGGATGTCACAATTCACCCTTTTGGAGGTCTAGCATCCTCACTAATACACCGCTCGGTGTCTGACTGTAATACCGTTTGTAACGGTCAATCCACCCCTTGGGGCTTAGCATCCTTACTAACACATTGTCAGATGTCTGAATATGGTAGTATTTGTAAGAGTCCAAGCTCACTATTTGTGATGTCTCACATTAGTTTGGGAGGAGAACAAATCACCATTTAGAAGAGTGTAGAAACCTTCCCCTAGAAGACGCGTTTTAAAGTCTTGAGGGGAAGCCCGAAATGGAAAGCCCAAAGAGGACAATATTGGCTAGCAGTGGATCTGGCCGTTACACTATTGGTAGATATTATCCGCTTTGGCTTGTTATATATAAAAAATGTTCCATTAGATAAAATTATTGAAAATTAGACTAAAATGAATTCTAAAAAATATAGAATAAATAATAAATTTATTAAACACAAAATTAAAATTTTAAAATCTCATTAAAGCAGTAAGACTATAACTTTCATTATTATGTAATCAGAGTTTATAAAATGTAACTTGACTTAAACATTATGCCTGAATTATTAAAAATTATAATAATATCAACAAGAAGCATGCACCAATTCAGCTTAACAAATCATATATTATAATTATGATATAGCGTGCTAATATTGAAAATCTAAAAATAATTAATTAGTCAGAATTTGAAGAAAGAAAAAAAAAAAAATCGAGCAGACCGGGCCATCCTTCCTTGTGCTCTCATCATCGAGCAGTATGAACAAAACTTGGCGCCCAAATGTTGGATTTGGCATTCAACAACAAAGCTTGGAGGTACGAATAAGTACTGACGAAGCTCAGGAAATGGAGGGAAGCAATCATTTGGAGGAATGAATGGAGGCAAGCGCTGAAATGGTGGGACAACGCCTGGAGAGGAAAACAACGATTCAACTACCGAGTTGACTGAACATAATGTCTAATCATTGGGACACGCTTTCAGGCTGTGTAGGAAAAGGTCATCGTCTCCATTAAAACAATTTCCCACTTGGGATTTCTTCTTCACATTCCCTTCTTTCTTTTATGGAAATTATGATTCAATGTCGCTACATTCTTCTATAATCATCGTACCTTTCCTTCCTTCTTAGGCTATCTTCTTTGAGAAGTTGCAGAGATTTCCAGGTGGAAGTGCTTTCTCTGTTACTTCTCAGAACCACTTCTTGTTGGTATGTTTCGAAATTGCTTGTTACATTTTCTCTGAATCAGCGTCCGTGTTCCGAGATTCTTTTGTTATTGATGAAAATCGGGTATTTGGAATTGGGTTGCCTTTGATTTCATCAGCTACTTTTTGCTTCCCGACATCTCGGAGTTCACGAAATTTTGCTTCCCGACAGGTTATGCTGGTTCGAACCTAGATATTCTCCTTTCTTTTTACTCGTCTATCATTATCTTAGGTTGGTGAATCTTGGGTTAGTGGAATTCTAGCAGTTGCAACCAACCCTTTTGGATGTCTGGAGATTTCAAATTTGGTTGTTATTTGTTTGCTTGAAACGAATATATATATATATATTTATTGGTGCATGGATAGGTCGCTTTTCCATCCATACTTTAAGGAGTTTTCTGATGTAAATTTGCATTTTAAGGAGTTTTCTGGAGCTTCGAAGCTGTTAGTTTCTTAACATTTGAATGCCATGAAACTTTTAAGCGCTGTGGTAAACTCCTTTGGATGTTCTGCATCTGGGGAACGTTTAGTTTCAGCTGCAAGAGATGGGGATTTTCAAGAAGCGCAGGCTTTGTTGGAGTGTAATCCTCGGTTGGCACGCTACTCTACTTTTGGTGTTCGCAATTCCCCCCTCCACTTCTCTGCTGCTCATGGCCATCACGAGGTACTTCACTCTTACTTTTAAAGCTAGCCTCACTCTATAATGGCCCAAATCCACCGCTAGTAAATATTATCCTCTTTAGATTTTTCCTCAAAGTTTTTAAAATGCGTATGCTATAAAGAGGTTTCCACACCCTCATAAAGAGAGGGTTTCGTTCTCCTCCCCAACAGATGTGGGATCTCATAATCCACCCCATACGGAACCCTCATTGGCACTCGTTCTCTTTTCCAATTGACGTGGGACCCCTCAATCCACCCTCCTTCGAGGCCAGCATCCTCGTTGGCACTCGTTCCCTTCTCCAATTGATGTGGGACCCCCAATCCACTCCCCTTTGGGGCCCAGCGTCCTTGCTGGCACACCGTCTCATGTCCACCCCTTTCGGGACTCAGCCTCCTCGCTGACACATCGCCTGGTGTCTAACTTCAAGCTTCCATCAAGGTTTTTAAAACGCATCTGCTAAAAAGAGATTTCTACACCCTTATAAAGAATGCTTCGTTCTCCTCCCCATCTGATGTGGGATCTCACACACTCCATTTTAAGATTAGAGAATCTTATAGGCTGTTGTCATGGTGCTTGTTCTTACATGTTTGCAGATAGTCCATCTTTTGCTTCAGTCTGGAGTTGACATTGATTTAAGGAACTATAGGGGTCAGGTATTACACTTTCTTCAACACTTTCTTCAAATTCATTATGTATCTTGTGTTCATCATTGCGTGCCTTACACTTCGGTACACAGACTGCTTTGATGCAAGCTTGTCAACATGGTCGTTGGGAAGTTGTTTTGATTTTAGTACTTTTTGGAGCCAACGTGAGTAATTTATCATTCATGTTAGCTGTCACGTTCATAATGTGAGCAACTTATTAGTCATTCATAAATTTGTTGCACACTTTAGGTCCATAAAGCAGATTACTTGAATGGAGGCACTGCACTTCATCTAGCTGCTACAAATGGTCATTCCCGGTGCATCAGGCTTCTTCTTGCTGATTATATTCCAAGTATACCGAATTTTAGGGAACTAATGAGTCAAATAAGAGATAATGAAGAACCAATCTCAGAGTTTGATCACAAGTACATGTTGAATTCCTCTTCATGAAAAATTCCTGGTTGAAATGCTTACTATGGTTCATTAACATCATAATTTTGTCTTCCAGGGCCTTGTCTCAGTTTATCAACCAATCAGCAGATGGAGGCATTACCGCCCTACACATGGCGGCTCTTAATGCGCAAGCTGAAAGCGTGCAGTTACTTCTGGAATTTGGGGCATCTGTTTCTGAGGTGACTATAGGCGATGGAACCGTAATTGATCTAATAGGTTTCTCCCTTTGAATTTTTGTCTTCTCTTTCACTAAATCAACTTGAGACCTTCTTTTCCAAGTTAGCCTTCTACTATCCTTCCTAATTCACCATCTTACATGTTTATAACTCTTTCTTTTCACAATAACAAAACATGATCACAAAGTTATGGCATTACCTCTATAAATGTGCTTCCTTGTCCTTCTATTTTGTGGGCAAGTGAAGAGTGCTTGAGCAGTTTGATTTTTTATCCCTTGCGATGATATAAGCAGCCTGTCTGTTGCAACTTTCGTAGGTCCAGGGAGTACAGCTCTTCATTATGCTGCATGCGGTGGTAATGCAAAATGTTGTAAAGTATGTACTTCACTTAAAGGAAAAGAATCGGAAATGGGATCAAATGAACGTCTTATTTTTTCCTCTTTGAAAGGATATTGCTTACTGTTTTCTATTCTTGTAGCTTTTGATTGCATGGGGTGCCAGCCTGACCACTGAAAATCAAAATGGGTACGTAATATACAGTTGGCTTATTCTTTGTACTATGTGAACTAGAATCTTTTTTTATGTTTGGATCGTGTTACAGTAGGTCACCTCCTGAACATAAGAAATTAGCTTAGGTTCTTTTAATTACTTGGGCACTCATTAGCGAACTATTTCTTAAAATTGATAGCAGTAGTGGTTGTGTAGAAACTGAACATTTTTTTTTCTTGTTCTCACACAGTTGGACACCTTTGATGGTCGCTCGCTCATGGCATAAAAGTTGGCTCGAGGACATTCTCTCCACAGAGCCTGTAGGCCGGCCAAAACTTATTCCTTCTCGTTATCTATCTCTGCCCCTTATGAGTATTGTTCAAATTGCTAGGTAACTGGAATTCGTTGTTTCATTCTACTGCTTATCCTTCACACAATGATGAATGCAGTAGTTCATTCTACTGCCATGACGAGTGAAATTGAATTCTGAATCCCTTTTGGATCCATTTGCAGAGAATATGGATGGAATAGTAAGTCTGCCCCTGGATGCCAGGATCCATGCGTTGTCTGTTTAGAGAGGAAGTGCACGGTAGCTGCCGAAGGTATATGATTAACTTAACAATATCATATTCTTGACTTGAGAATTATGTTCTTATTTCCTCATCTTGCATAACCCAACTTATTTATGTGAACATCATTTCTGTTGCTAAATTGTTCTATTGAAGTTTTAACAAGTTTGCTGAGTATGAGCAGAAGTTTGAACTTCAATGTTTCAAACATAATGAACTTTGAAGTGTTAGATTCTGTAGTCAGCCCAGCTAGCTATTACGTCTTTTGGTATGTGGGGTTGTTGAAGGGTTGATAAGAAATCCAATGTCCTGCAGGTTGTGATCATGAATTCTGTACTAGATGTGCCTTATACCTCTGTTCTACAAATTGCGGGACAACCATTTCTCGTGGCCCTCCAGGTTCAGTTTCTTGTCCGCTCTGTCGCAATGGCATAGTGTCATTCGTTAAGCTTCCTGAAAAAGCACTCGTTAAGGAAGTTGCAAGAACAAGTTTTTTACTTCCAATAGGCCAACGTTCTCACGAGACACCATCAAAAGCTACCCCCTTAACCTCCCAGCTTCGATCGCTTGAGTTGTGTCATGTCGACGACACTTCTCTGGGAGTTTCCTTTTGTTGCCAGAGACTTCCATCAATCAATCTCTGTCGTGAAACGCCGAATATATGTCACTCTTTAGTTCCACGTTGTGTCAACCGGAACTTGCAGAACCACTTGGCCAGATATTAAAGGCGAGGGCTCCAATAATCAACTTATCACAGGTCATTCTCTTCTGTAGCTAATCAATATGTAATCCCTGAGACTGTATGCTGATACTGTTTGGACCTTACTCATGTTTCTTTTCATCTTTCTTGATTGAATCCTTACTTCATTGTTAGTAGTTTGATTTTGACCTTCATTTGCTGTAAATATGGGTCAGCCATTGTGGTGTGCAGAAGCAATGTACATAAGAATCATTTAGTGGCTTGGAGTTCACTTTTCTTCTTTCCGAAATATTTTATTGAAACCTCTACCTAGAGGACACCGAGCGGTGTGCCAGCGAGGATGTTGGGTCTCGAAGGGAGGTGGACTGTGAGATCCCAACTCGATTGGAGGTTGAAACCTTATAGACACGTTTTAAAAACCTTGATGGAAAGCCTAAAAGGGAAGGCCCAAAGAGGACAATATTTGCTAGCAGAGGCTTGGGCCGTTACAAATGGTATCAAAGGCAGACACAGAACAGTATGCCAGCGGAGGACGCTTAGCTCCGAAGGGGGGTGGACACTAAGTGGTGTGCCAGCGAAGATGCTAAGCCTCAAAGGGGATGCTAAAAGTAATAATTAGCGGTAGACTTAGGGGGTTACAAATAGTATCAGAGCCAATGATTGCACCACATTACAAAAGTAATAATGTGGATGCTAAAAGAATATTCTCATACAATTTAAGATGAACATATGTACTAATTAAATTACAAATTTTGACTTTAGGAAACACAGTAAGATGCATGAAGTAACACCATAACATCAGAACACGAAGGTTCATACTCATGTAAAAGAATGAGCAGAAAGCATGAGCATTTGATTTATAGTGGTTGCCCATATCTTATACTTATGATAATCATTCGCCATGTCTAACTTGAATGTGCCCTTATTTGTCATTAAAACAATGAGATAACATGTATGAATCTCCTCATCGACGTCGTCAATGGCGCCTGCATCTTCATCCCTATATAACTCGACGAACATATCTAACACCACACCTGCATACATCAGTTAGTTAGTCAAAGCTTGTAGAATCAAAGCCTTCATAAGTATTGATCTTATAACAGAACGTACTTTCTTGTGTGGTCTTCAACATATTGAGCTTTCTGATCTTCAGAATCACTTTCGTGTCGTTGTTTTGGACGACGGAGATGGATCTCTTCTTGTACGTTCCTGAAAAAAGAAAAGGTATACAATCTTTTAGTAAAAGCAAATAAAGATTTGACTGTCATTTTTCTCTGATGTAATGAAATAGCTGCATATTCTTACCATTTGGTGACTCAACTTTGAGAAGAACACCTTTAGCAAGCATGGATCTTGATTTTTCAAGATTGAAATCAATCTCAATCTCATGGTTGTCTTCTATAGGAAGCACGGATGCAACTCCTCCAGTTGATTTGTTTTTGTAGTCGGATCTTGCTTTAAGCGTGGCTGCTCCTTTCAATGCTGCAAAAGAAAGAACAAGATTTGACATTGATTATTAACCCAACACAAGATTCCAAAGCTGGAATATCAGAAGGAGTATATTTTACATGTGGCAGCAGCAGCTGTGAGCGTGAGGATATCCCTGGCAGTGGTACTGCTCAAGGCTGACCCAATCACACTGCTAAGCTGTTCCCTTTTGGCGCCCATTGCTTGGGCCACTTGTTCGCACTGTGCTGCCACTAAAGCGGCTGCAGAAGCCACAGCAGCCTCCCTACCGCAGCCTGAGTTGTCATCCTTCGATCTTGAGGTGTCGGCTGCAATGACTGCAAGTGCAGCTGCTACACCAGCCACGGATATAGCTGCATGAATTTCAGCCCTCTGAAGCCTATTTTCATCTTTTCGACTCTGTCTTATGTTACTTAGCCATTTCTTTATTGACAAGTTCTTGAATGGCACGATTTTCCATTGAAACTACAAGGACAGTGAATTTATATTAGATTTGCCACTGAATTTATAAACTTGTTGAACTATAAACTTACCCATTTCTTTCTGAAATTACTGCTGTAGTTCAACTCCGGATGCATTGCTTGTTGCATCCATATAAACGACTGAAAAAAAAAAAAAAAAAAAAAAGTGATGCTTATGAATTCAACAAGCATATCATTTGACTATAATCATGCTACCTTCATATCATTTGATTTCCATGGTGGTATGGATTTGACATGATCTTCAGCTTCCATCTTTACAGTTTTCTGCACTCTCTGAATCTATCAATAAATCCCATAATTGATTACTTTGATCTTCCTGAAACATAACAAATGGCAGAAAACAAGAAATGTTGTACTCACTGGAAAAGGATCTGAACGATCCTTGATGGGGGTGTCTAAGAGAGCTAGAGATTTGTCAGGGTGCAGCTCAGGGCTTAGAGTTTGAACTACAAAACTACACCATGCTCGTGAAAGCATGTCCATAGTCTCAGGATGTGCAGGCGAAGGAGTTGTGGGTTCCATTTGGAGTCCAGAATGAAGCAACTGAGCTAGCTTAGAGCAAGTTTAGTTGTGGGGTGTGCGTGGGGGTAAATAAAGGGCAATGAAAAGTCACATCCAGGCGCATATATAAACCAGAAGCTGTAGAGCTAAGCATAAAAAAAAACTAAAGCTGATGCAGTGGTAGGTCTCCATGGAAGAGCTGTCCAAGGGCCACCACTTAGCACCTCTCGATCATAAAAGAAAAGGCCATAATAACCAAAGCATGCTTCTAGGGACAACTTATATCTTGATAAAAAGGAATGGGGACGACATGGCTCCATTAAAACATAACTCGTTAGAAATTACAGACCTCCACAATGGTATAATATTTTTGGTTCGAGCAGGACAATGAACCACTCTTTATAAAGATGTTAAACTTTTCCATAGTATAGTTGAGGCTAACAACGATAGTAACAAGCTAAAGCGGACAATATCTATTTGCTGTAGACTTAAGCTGTTACGTCTCTCGATGACAATTATGAACTTTCAAGGAGTGATTTTGCAAATTAGTTAAAGGTGTGTCTAAATCATCATTATGCTCCTCAAGCTTTGATGTAGCATCTCATTATGTTAAAAGTCTCTTTTAAATTAAACTTTTTTTAAGGCTGTGATTAAGGATCATGAACCTCAATCATGATGTTATATTATTAAAGGACAATATAATCAATTTGTAAGTTAATTGCTTTAAAAAGTAGCTCAAACTACGTAAATCAATAAAAGGAAGTCCATCAATGGAGCATACTATGTTATACACATAGGCCCATTTTGTGCCAAATCAACCATGGGCTATGTTGCTTCCAAAATAGCCCATTAAATGATGTGATTTTACAAATTTTAAGCTCACAAGGGAATGAGACTATTAAGGTGTATGAGCCAAAAGAGTCCGAGCAATCGTAACATATCATTCTAATCTCGTGTTGGGACCAATAAGCCGAGAGACATTCTCACGTAGACAGTTCCTCTAAATAAACTTTTTTTTTAAAAAAATTATCCACTACCTCGAATACTTTCTCATTTAATAAGAAGCCTCGAAATGAGGAGAAATATAACAATGAAAAAATTTTAGATCGTCATAAACAACATACATAACACATTTTTTTCATACACAAACATCCGAATATATATATATTTGTTGATGATTGTGTTAGCTAATCAACCTATCTAATTAGATTTGAAATAATGTACTTTAAAACTTTATTCCAAAGGTTACATTTAAAGAGGTTTTGTTAATGATTATATTCCCGATATCTCTTAAAGACATTACATCTTCACTAATCTCATCATTTGAGTAAATAATAGCATTAGAGGTAAAGGATTCCTTGTTTATGTGTTTACAATCCATAGCTTCATTATTTCAAACTAAATATCATTAACAAATAAAAGTTCTTTACATATATATATATATATATATAAAAACACTACTCGAGGGAATACCCCATGTTCTTTTCTACTCGGGCTTTCCCTCAAGGTTTTTAAGGTTTCCACCCTCTTATAAAAATGTTCTGACGTGGAATCTCATCATTCACTCCCTTTAGGGCTTAACATCCTCGTTGGCGCTCGTTCCCTCTTCGATCACGTGAGATCTCACAATCTACCCCTTTCGAGACCCAGCATCCTCGCTGGCACTTGATGCTCTCTCCACTTGATGTGGACCTCACATAATCACTAAAAGCAACAAAAACCCATTTGAAATTTAATTCTTCTACCCATACACATCAATTGGAATGGCATCATGTGATACTTCATGATACTAGAAGGTACCATTGAGAGAGAGATAATGGGTAAGTGGGTTAGTAACAACGACGCGACCAAACCAAAATTGACGTAGCAATGTTTCTACCATGTCTATATCATCGATCGATCTGGTCAGAAGTTTAAATCCTCACTCATAATTTGGACACACCCAACAAACCCACATGCATTAATAATACTCACCCCCCTCTCATCCATCAACTTTGGATTTAGGGAAAAACCTACACACACTCAACACCCCTCTTTCCCAAGTAAATGCCTTCAATAGGAAACCCCCTCACACCATCTTTCTTCATACACGCAATGCCAGAAAAAAAACACACCATACTTTCACATACTCAATTTTCACTCACACCAATGAATACCCAATCCAATAATGTGTATAAATTAAATGACTTTAAACTTTTAAACGAACCAAATTCTAAAAAGGGTAATAATATATGTCTTAACTTACATAAAATTTAATATGTACAAGACCATGTTTTCAAATTATCACTACATTTAGCTTCCAATTAGCTATACATATGTTTAAAAAAAAAAAAAGCCCATAACTTTCACCATCCATTCATCATACCAATGTTGGCCGAAAAAGAACTATGAATTTGGATACTCATAATGATGGTGGCGCTACGTATGCAGTCGTTGCAAGACACCGCATGACATCAACCTGAGTTTGAAGAGCCAAAATGTAATCTAGGGTTTCTTCAATTAACGAAACTTCATCCATAAATTCACCTCCGGGAACCAACCCACGAAGCGTTCTTGTTCTTTTTTGCACCAACCTTTTTGCAATCCACTCAGCAGCCGGCTTCCTACATTTTTTCCTCCGCCCCACACGGCGGCTCCGTTTGAGAATCTTCCGACTACTCCACGAACTTCGCGTGATTTTTGAACTGCTTTCCTTGATTCTCTCGCATACGGCACGACCCAATACGCCGTTAGCCACCAGGAAGCTGCCATCGTGAACGGAGGTGCCAGCGATGACAGCTCGGCTCCAACGAGTGGCACAGTTTCTGGAGGACGCCAAAGCAATATCAGCGGATAACTTTATGGCCCTTTTTCTGTCGGCGACGGTCATGTTTCGGTTGGTGGTTGTGTATATTTGAAGACCCATCCGCCATTTCTTCAAAAAATCTCGTTTCAACCAACTGGGATTGCGCATTCTAATATTTAAAAACAAAAAAACAAAGAATTGTCATGGGAAATTGGATCAAAGATAGAACATTATGGAAAAGTTGATGAAAAAAATGAGAAAAAAAGAAAGAACATACCTGGGAAATTTGTGGTTTAATGAGAGAAAGGATTATTAGTTGGGAAGATTTAGAGATCCGAGAGAGAAAGAAGCATGGGAAATAGAAGAATGTGCAGAAACCAATTTATGTGGTTAAAGGAGGGAATTGGTGGGCCATTTAGAGAGAGACACAGCACATGCAAGCACATGGAGTTAATGTCCCACCACCAAACCCTAAAGGGTATACACTATACATACATATATATCAACAAATTATAAATTATAAAGTGAAACAATAAAGAGATTGTGATTAATTAAAGGGAGGTGGCGCCATTAGTCTCTATTAACCCTTTAATTAATACCTTTTCCTAATTCAATTAGCATTTGTCTTTCTTCTATTAATCTAATCTTAGTTACTTTTAATATCCCCCTTAAGTAGATTTCTGTCGTTTTCTCTTTTTCTTTTTTTTCAATTTCTATTAATTTAGATCCATTTGCAACTAAAAAGTTCGTATCTTGGATGATATTAACGTTGATTAGTAAGGCTATTAGTGTGGGATCCCATGATGGTTGAGAAGAGGGACGGAACATTTTTTATACAGATGTAGAAACTTCTATTTATTAGACATGTTTTTAAAACGGTAAGACTGATGATGATAAGTAATAGGCCAAAATAAATAATATCTGCTAGCGGTGGACTTAAGCTGTTCTAATTAGTGTATTTATACAAACCGTGAGGCTGTCGTTTTCTCTTTTTCTTTTTCATGTCGTTGTCTCTTTTTCTCTTTTGAATTTCTATTAATTTAAATACATTTGCAACTAAAAAGTTTATATGTCTTTACCTTCACCTAATAAGACTATTCACGTTGGTTGGAGAGAGAAACGAAACATTCCTTACAAGAGTATGAAAACTTCTCCTTAATAGATGTATTTTACAATCGTGTGATTGATAACGATGCGTGATGGATCGAAGCGGACAATATTTGTTAGTAATGAGTTTGTATGCAATTTAATTACCGATCAATAAAAATGATCGAATAAGATAAGATTATGATTTATGATTGAGGTTAAACTGAATCGAAGAATATGGATAGAAGGTTAAAGTGAAGGTTGGTGATGATAATGGAAGTGAATAAAGGCAGATAGATAGGGTAACATAAAAAGGAACCGAAAGGGTTGTAAGTGGGGATGATGAGGAAGCTTGAGCAGCAGGGTTAAGCTTGTTGGTCAAACCCAAGGCTGTTGTGGCACTGTTTGGAAGTTGGGCTGACCACAGATATATCAAACAACTTCTCACCAAAACTGTCAAATCATTACCACGCAACGAACCCATACCACATGGGAGAGTTCATCACTATTCAATTTCGATACTTTAGTGTTAATATTGACGTATCTTTGATATGATATCATCTACTTTATTTAAATTTGATATCCTTTTGGAATAGTTCAAGTCCATCGCTAGTAGATACTGTCTACTTTGGTCCATTACGTATAGTGTAACAGTTTTAAAACGTGTTTACTAGAAAGAAGTTTCCACACCCTTATAAAGAATGTTTTGTTCTCCTCTCTAATTGACGTGGGATCTCACACTTTTATAATTAATCGAGATGCTATATCCTTTTGAAAGAAGGTATGATCGGAGTGAAAGTACAATGATGATTGACTACAAAGCTTTTACCGCACTTAATTATAGTAAAACCGACCTTCCCTTTCAAAATCAAATCACACCCACACGAGCTCGAGCAAGTATCTTAAAAGGGTTAAAAACAAAACGAAGAATTGAATTGAATCGAATAGAATCGAAGAAACACATGTATGAGATCAAAATTGAATCTTGGGCTAGGTTATATTATTAACGCATAATCTTTTGAAGAAGCTAAGGCAGCGGCGGAAAGCAAGTCAACTCAAGCTCGTCCAAAAGGGGCTTTGGTTGGGATTGGCAGGATCCGTAAAACATGCAAATGGGGCAATGGGTCCTAGGCGATGAGGAATTGTAGGGCATGTGGGAAGGGGCCAAGAGAAAAAAAGATTAAAAAAAAAGGATGTTTTTCATGCACCCAAATCACCAAGAACACATCCACGTGCTGCCCAATTCTTCCTCAATCAAACTAAGCTTAATTTTACCATCCTCCACCCACCTTGGTAACTCATTTTGTGCCAA